TCTCAGCTCCTCTACCCCTTTCTTGCCTGGTGTGTGCACTTCTGATTCCCTGATATGTGGGCTCTGCTACTGCTGGGCAATGCATGTACGTGAATATATATGTACGTATGTATGTATGTATGTATGTATGTATGTACCAGGAATGGAAATTTGAAAGGAAGTTCAAACCAGGGTATGGTGACACATGCCTGCAATTCTAGAACTTTGGGAGGCTTAGAAAGGAACATGCCATGTAGTGAGAACTTATCTCAAAATCAAAGTTATAAGGGCTGGATATGTAGCTCAGTTGACCCTGAAGTCAATCCCTGGTTACCACAATAAATGACAGACAGACAGACAGACAGACAGACAGACAGACAGACAGATAGAATATAGAACTTCAAAAACAAATGTGCTTCACCAAAATGAGGAAATATTTTGTATTGCGTATAACTGGGGCTTTGTTGAGGTTGTTTTGGACGTGCTTGTCACCCCTGTTTTCCTGCAAAATCGTAAATCAAGAATTCCCCTACAAAACGGTCATTATTTCTGCACATTCCACATAATCTGAGTTTGTAATGTTCAGTTATCTGTTTATAACTTAAGATAAATGCATTACTTCCAGGAGCTCTTCGGATAAAGAAGACTTTGAGGAGACGATTGCAGACCACGCGATCGCAGCAGGTAACAGAACTGGTGAAGCTTATGTACTTAGGGCACGTCTCCCGCCCAGCCGCCAGGGCTGACATTTCTCTCGCAGTGTGCTTGCCAGCGTTTGCAGGATCGAGGGCCATGTTCCGAACTGTGCTCGTGGGAAGAGTGACTCTTGTGCGCCATGTGCTTCTGCTTGGCCTCAGACATTTCCCCTCTTGTCCTATTTATTCACTGAGAAGTAGAGAAGGCATGATGGGAAGCTGACGTCACACCCAGAGCCTTGGCCGTGAAGGTCAGCGGTCCTCAGCTGTACCTGAACACTTCTGCTCGATAAAGACTGTCTTTTAAGGTTGAAAGCAGTCCAGGCAGAAGGGGCTGGCAGTCTGCTCATATTAGTGATTAGTTTTTGGGAAAAAAAATGAATCAGAGTTTGAGTACATGGACCAAAAGGCGACATTTTTATAAAAGTACATTATTATTACTATTATTAATTATTATTATTATTTATATTGACCCCTTCCTAGAAGCCAGATGTGATTTCAAACACATCTCTACTGTCACTATAGTGCCTTACGGAGGACAGTTTTGTTTTTCCTGTATCACAGATGAGAAAAACATGATACCTCAAATGTAAAGAATAAGTGAAGTTTTGAAAAGAGAAGCTGTAGAAAATAATTTAAGCAAACGTTCATTCAGATAGCACTAAATAATAATGTTTCCTATTTTACTAAGGAAGGAAAAAGGCTTCATAGTTCTCTCCAGAAGAAAATTGAGCGGCCTTGACTTTAAATGAATTCTAGTCTCTTACCCTTTGACAGGAGACAGCCTTCGTGAAGATGTAGTTTGCTGTTGTTGCTGCTGCCGCTGCCTCTGCTAACAGAGAAGTGAGCAGGCTTGGTCAGACTTGAATTCCATTCGCGACTTCTAGGTTTTTATTTGTATTTGAGCTGAAGATTGAGTTCCCTCATACTAAGCAAGTGCTGAGCTATACCTCTATCTCTTAATCCTGGAATTTTTAAAAAAATATTTTGTTTATTACTAATTTGGTACAGGATCTCACTACGCAGCTCAGACTTACAGTGATCCTCCTGTCTGAGCCTCCCCAGTGCTGGGACTACAGGCGTGCGCCATCACGCCTGGTTTCCGTATCGGGCGTACCTGGGATTATAGGGCTGGCATGGCTTGCAGTACAGAGGATTGAACCCAGGTCCTTGCACTTGCCAGGCAGATGCTTAGACTGCCGAGCAATCTCCCCAGCCCCTTCCTGGAACTCTCATTGATGCTTTGTAGTTCAGGTTCAGCGAAGTAAAAAGGAAATGTGTTTTCCTTCGATCTCGAAATCACCTCTTTGGGGATTTCTATGCAGAGTTACGAGAATTTAGGAACTCATCTGTGTTGGTAACTTGAATATAGGTATCTGATTGAGGGCTGAACTCTTAAGGTATAAAGGTTACGAGTAACCAGGTTAGCCGAGGCTGGACACCCGGGGGACAGACCTCCACCGAGTGGACCCTAGTATGGCAGACACTGTGGTGTATGCTTTCAGGAGTCCCCGTGGAGGTCCTCAAAGAGTCTCTGGGGGAAGAACTCTTTAAGCTGTGCTATGAGGAAGACGAACACATCCTTGCCGTGGTTGGAGGCACCCTGAAAGACTTTTTAAACAGCTTCAGCACGCTTCTGAAGCAGAGCAGCCACTGCCAGGAAGCAGAGAAGAGGGGCCGGCTGGAAGACGCCTCCATCCTCTGCCTAGAGCAGGACCCCGAGTTCCTCAGTGTGTACTACTTCTTCCCCAAGAGAGTCACAGCCCTCATCCTTCCCGGCGCCATTAAGGCAGCTGCCCTCACTCTTTACGAGACCCATGTGGAAGTGTCCCTAGCACCTCCCTGCTTCCGGAGCCGCTGCCCTGAGTTTGTCAACCAGCCCTACTTGCTCTACTCGGTGCGCGTGAAAAGCACCAAGCCTGCCTTGTCCCCAGGGAAGCCGCAGTCCTCGCTGGTGATCCCCGTCTCACTCTTCTGCAAGACATTCCCATTCCACTTCATGTTCGACCGAGACCTCGCCATCCTGCAGGTCGGCAATGGCATTCGGCGGCTGATGAGCAGGAGGGACGTGCAGGGCAGGCCGCACTTCGAGGAGTACTTTGAGATCCTGAGCCCCAGGATCAGCCAGACCTTCAGCGGCGTCATGAGCATGCTGAACATGCAGTTCGTCATTCGCGTGCGGAGGTGGGACGGCGCGGTGAAGAAGTCCTCCCGGGTAAGGGCGGCGAGTGCTGTCGTGAACATAAAATGAGCTTTGGTGCTTTTGGGGGCTAACCTCCTAAAGGCCGCAGTGCACGCGTCCCTCCGAGTGTGTGCACCACACATTCGTGTGGGAAACCGCTCCAGCACACTTCAAACCCTATAATAAATTTCAACCCTTTCTGCCTTCATTTGCTTGGTTATTTGACTTATTACTTCACAAATATTTATTGCATACAATCTGTCATTTATAATCTCACAGGATGCTTTATAACTAAAATAGTAAATATTTATGTTAAAATCTGTTTCCAATTAAAAGTAATGTTTTACAATAAACAGGCAAAAGCTACATGTTGCCAAATGCAACTAAATGGATTTTTAATCAGCACTTAATAAACACAGAGATATAAATAATTCATTTGATTAATTGCTAATGAAGTATGGGGAGGGTGTGTTTTATAATGCAGTATCAAGGTAGAGAATTTTGGAAATTATCTTATCTCAGGAAGGAATCTTAGAAAAAATTATTAAGTCTTGGTATCTATTCTATACTAACACAGAGTCGATAGCGTACGCAGAGCCAAGAGAGCAGCTTCAGACCAAAAGCCGAGGTGCTGACGCTGCAGACAAGGAGAAGCACTTCATGTTTTTATCCTGAAATAATCAAAATTAGTGAAATTATTATTATTATTATTATTATTATTATTATTATTATTTGGTACTAGAGATTGAACTCAGGCCATGCGCTTTCCAGGCGGGTGCTTACTCTACTGAGCTATCTCTCTGGCCCATCAAAAGGTTTTTAAAGGTGGTGATACATGAAGATAGCCATTGAGGCAAGATACTAAATCACAAATCCCTACAATTTTGTTTGCCAGAAAGTAAAAACCATTTCACAATTACTACTGCCCTAAATAATGCACTCTGGCCAACGCCTGTGCTGTTGGATGCAGACCCACCTCACTGTTTGTGCTGCTCCGTGGGGTGGTTGTGCTCTTCTGACTTCAACTGGCCTCCTGTGGCTTTTGACTGTGGCTTCAGTGGACACCTGAGTCCACATGTCCACTGGACGCAAGCTCATCTTTTTGGTCCTTGCTTGAACTCATAGCACAGCAGGTGAAATTCGTTCTGCTGCCTGGTGTGGGCTTCTGCATGTACAGAAGGCAGGGCCAGCAAGGGCCTTGAGGTCATGTTGAAAAGCAGATGTAGCCTCTTCTCCAGCTCGTCCCCTGGAGAAATAACTTCCATATGGTGGCTCTGTGTGTTACTCAGTGCGAAAAGAAGAATGTTAGGCAAAACCTTCTAGTTGGAGATATTTTAACTTCTGTCCCTGCCAGGTGGAGCAAGTAGGTTATGGCAGAACAGAGGGGCAAGAAGACAGCTAAGTGTGGAGGCCCTCGTCTATGGGAGCCTGAAGCAGGGGCTCAAGTTTAAGCCCAGCCTTGACAGCTTAACCACTATGCAAGACTCTGTATTCT